TCCTCCATATCTCCTCCACCTCGCGTACATGTTCCCATCCTCTCCGTACCGCCTCCTCCATCCCATCCCTACCGTCCCCTCCGTCCCGTCCCTTCCGTCCCGTTCCCTCCTTCCCATCTTCTCGTCCCGCCCCCTCCGTCCCATCTTCTACGTAACGTCTCCTCCTTCCCATCCCATGTCCCCCGCCCCGTCTGCTCCGTCCCGTCCCTTCCGTCCCGTCCCTTCTGTCCCATCCCCTCCGCTTAATGCTCTACCGACGACCACGTATTGCAGGCAGGCGGAACGTTTCTGGTCTGGCCGAAAGCATCTTTATAATCCCCTCGTCGGTGCCTGGCGTAGCCACTGGAATCTTCTACGTAGCCACTAGAATCTTCTGTGTATTATCACAGGGTTAACTCGCTATGAGAACGAATCAGCCATCCACTCTCTAATAGATAAAAATAATATACTCGAATATTACAAGTCCGAAGGGTGACAGTGCCTCGAGAATAAAACCCACACCACTATCTTCATATAGCGTTCGAAGAGGCGAGAACGAAAGAACTTCTATATCCATTCTCTAAATTTTCTAGAACTTAGAGAATAGACTTCCAAATTTTCCCGAAAATTTAGAAGTCGAACAAGCCAACAAACCCGAAACTATAAATTTCGGAGAAATTTCGAGGCGAGACGCTCCCCCAAATCGTGTGCAAGGACAACACCACGAAATACAATTCCCAAGGCATTCCAGAACACGAAACTTCCGAAAAAATTACGGCGCTAGTAAATACATTTGCAAAACCCCGCCCGAGACATAGAAAATAGCCATACGAAAAAAGAAAAATTATAATATTTGTTTTATAGAGAAAATATATATTTCTTCGATGAAATATATGCTTTAATAAAGAATTAGATTTATTAGTAATTTCTAGAAGGTTTATAGAAAATAAATATTTAATTTTTCGATAAAATATTTATTTTATTAAGTAATTAAATTTAATAATAACTTCTGCAAAATCGGTAATTATTTTGATATAAGAAATATAAATCTAATATTCACTTTATATATTCAAAACATTAAATCGTTTTCATAAAATAGTATATCATAATAACATATTTTCAATCTAAAGAAAATAAATAATAAAAATTTAATCTACTATCAGAAATAGACTAATAATTTATTTGTATATATATTCTATAATTAAACAATATGAAATATTAATAATTTTATATTCATTTCTATTTTTTTCCTTTCTTTTCTTCTTTAATCTTTATCATAAAAATATATATAGATCTATAAATTTATACGAAAATATACGCTCATATATACATGTTCACGCACACCAATATAAACCCCACCAAACCGCAAAAAAAAAAAAATAAGAGATTTTAGAAGAAACGACACCATTCTTAAAAGTCGCTGCTTTTGCCTCCCGCCTAGCTAAGACGCTACTCTAAAAGAATATTTGTCTCTAGGGGAAACGGCGCGCTATTCTTTGCTCCGGAACAGTGTCACTTACTATAATCAAAGCCGACGCGCATTTTAAAGCCCCGTTATAACGGGTTCTAGAGGATACGCACACTTAGGATCGTTTATTCTATAAAATTATTACAGGTTAAAATCTTTCCCTTGTTTGCTTACTTGTTTGCTAAGAGTGTGGGCTCCCGAAAGAACCCTAACCCGAAGGCCTACCCCTCGGCGCGCATCTATCGTATACACCCTATATTAGGGTCGATACCGAGTTCCCCTAAGTGTATCCTATCAGACCCCCCGAAAAACACCCCTACTAAGCCAGTAACCGATATACAACCCCCTAAGTTCCACTCAAGTCATCCATCGGCATGCCAAAGAGTCAATACAATACTCTTCCCCCCAACTAAAACACTCATTACATTCTACCACGACATGAAGAGAAGTAACACTAGAGTTCTTCGAACTGGTGGAGCTCCACTCCCCCTTCTGTTCCACGAAGTGTGCCAGTCGAGCAAAGTAAACCCCTACCTCTCTCTCTTTCTCTATATGTATGTATATATATATACAAATATATATATATACGCTAATTACATTTTCGAAAAGACTTAAAAATATGTTTGAAAATATATCATTAATCGATAAAAATCGAAAATATCGAAGTACTATAATTTAACCAAGAAAATATTTTTATTTCATATTAATAGCTAATTTCTATCATCAATAAGTAGATTTATCTATATCATAATAATTTAATTTGTTCGAATTTGCATCAATTATTTAAAGAACAGATTGTTCAGATCAATATTTTCTACTTACATTTTCGGAAATCTAATCTATATTCTTATATCAACTGGAGCACCAAACTCTAAACTCCCAAGCACTGGAACCTAAAACCCGAACAAAAGAGTTTAACCCTGAAATGTCTCGGTCTGAAAAAAACCTCAACTTCAACAAACCTGCACACTTCAAAGGACAGAGGACCCTCCGGGTTCAGGACTTAAGACTGTCAGAGCTGCAGCGGGGGAGAGAGTGAGACAGAGATTGTGGAGGCCGAAAGGTCCGGCAATCATTCTGCGCAGGCAGGCGTTTAGGCTGCTGAGGGTTCAGAATTTCAGAAACTATATAATATCTCGTTTGGTATGAAACCAAACACCCTGAGCCTGCTCGTCGGGCACTCAGGAACGGTTTGGGATGTATCTGTTCATTAGGTTTTCTGGAGTTCCTTCAGAACTACACTACGATACACCCTAAGCCCTGTCTACCGATTAGGGCAGAAGTCATCTCAGATTGGCTTCTCCTGCGCCACAGAGCGCCGTGCTGCTGATTGGGGCGCCGCCGGACCGGGCGATGGAGGTGCTTGGCCTGCAATCAGAGAGATTTGGTTTTAGGGTCTCGGACTTCGGGGTGACTCCGTAAAAAATAATGGTCGCAATGATGATGACATGATGACACTGCCGGTAATGGAAGTCGCAACAACGCTGGCCTGAAACCATAAATCCACTCACGGCTAGCTACAAGGGCAGATGTTCGTCATCCAAAAAGGGATATGGTGGGAACAGCTGGTGTTTGGACTTTTGGTTGGCTAGGAGAAGCAGTGTTCAAATCAAGCATTTTTGTTGCTTACACATGTGCTGAGGGCTTGAAAAAGTTCTGTATTGTCCACCCCCCTGGCGTCGTGCACATTTTCGCCTACAATCGTGTGAATTTCCAATCCGGGGCCCTGTCCGCCTGGACGCCCAATTCATCGTGAATTTTAGGAATCTCGGGTTCGTTCCTGTGGTCCTTTAAATCCCGCCAGCACATGAATGAAACGATTCAGGCTGGTGCTTTCAAGAGCCCAAAAGTGCAGTTGCCATGCTATGAGGTGCCAGGGGGGATTGTTTGGCCAAGTCCAGAACCATTCCGCGCTGCTTTGGGAGCACGCACTTTGCAGCAGCCGCGCCTTGTCTTACACAAGTGATGATGGTAATCCAACAACAAATCGACTCATCATCAATGCAGGGGCAACAACATCACCATGTTCATCGTCACGTCGCATGTCAAAGGCATCAGCCGCTTGAACCTTGCTGTACTCTACCGAACAAGACAAAGCACTGCAGAAGAATCGCCGCGACCTCATCAGCAAACTCCTTGGCAGGGTGCCACTATGCGGGGACTGCGCGCCTCTAGACATCTGATAGAATTCATGGACGTTGCTGTTTCAACACATGATGGATAAGCCTCCGCCAAACATGCAAAGCTGACACCTGCGGCTGAGGTCGGTGCTGCCGGTATGTCACCCGGCCAAGCTTGGTCATGGCAGCGAATCGAGAGAATACTCAGGTATCAGAGTGAATCATACATCCTCGCGCGCGGGTTCTGTTAGGATGCCTCTTGACGGACCCAATCTAGGAACACTGTCATCTGGGAGAAGTTGCTGGCATCGACCAAGACCTGAACCTTGAAACTATGACTCTCGGACAGTCGCGATGGACTTGAGAGCATATCCACGAAACTAATGTTCAGAATACATTAAGTTTACAACTATGCTCTACGGAAAAGGCAAGCAGAACTCATTGCAGCCACACAGAAACGAAAAGGCGCGTTAAAACCCTAAAAAAAAAACATCGCTCCAAACTTCCGTAGAGATCTCAGCCCAAAACGCTATAGAGCCGCTCCTTTTGTGCCAATGCGGGCAGCGTCTGCCGCAGCGTTCCTCTAGGCAAGGCTGCGGTGTTGTGCCCTGGAAAAGAATCGATGCTTTTGCCTCGTTTTTGCTGGGATCCTGGGATCTGAAGCTCACCTAGTGATCTGGAAGTTCCACCCGGCCGGTGAAGGGACCTCGGCGGGACCGCCTGAACTCACTTCGTAAACCACAAATTGCTCCCAGGTGGCCGCGTCTGGCAGGGACTGGATGGTCCAAGCGGTGTGGAGAACGCCAGCGGCACCGGGCTCTGGGCCCATGGCCAGGAAGCCTTCCTGAAAGTGCAAGCTGATAGCGGCATCGTGGGTTGGCACGACTTGGAACTTGCATAATGGCCAGATGCTGGGAGCTGTTGAGGATAAATGGGGCCACTGGCTCGAGCATCTCCGTTTTCGATCTTCACGAAGGCCTTGAAGAAGGGGTTCCACAAGGCGAGGTCTCCATTGTCAGCATCCACCACCAAGAATTTCTCCCAATCGGTTTGATATCCCAAGTTGGGCTGTTGGTCAGGCATCATCACGTTGCCACCCTTGTCCAGGTCCGCATGGTTCAGGCGGAGCCAGTGCTTGCGGAGCGGGCTCCAGAGTCCCACCGTGCTGCCAACCTTAAGGCGTGGTTTCAGCACCTCCACACGGAACTCCTGATGCGTCCATCCTGGAACCAAGACGTCGGAGGGTGGGCTCGCATAGGTGTCGTGTTGTGCCCAACAGGAAACGAAGCGCTTGGTCGCCGGGTTCTGCAAGCCGAAGAGGTCTGTCCCGCCACCCCGACTCACCACGACGAAAGTCTCGGCTTCCCAGCCACCGGTAGGATGAAAGTCCGTCAGGGCACCGTGCTTCAGAGAGAGCCCGGAGGCTGCGAGGCTCATGAACCCATTGTACCTCGGGTGGTGCAGTGCGATCCTACCTCGTCTTCCATCCATTCGAAGACTCCTTGCTCCCCCTCGTCCTTTCCAGCCTGGTGCGACTGGTTGTGGGTCTGATGGGCCTCCATCTGCATCAGCTTTGTGCGGCTTATCGAAACTCGGGGGTTTGTTTCTTGCTCCCAGTTGGCCATGGTGCGGTGCAAGTGGCCATGGTGGTCCACGAAGTCTGTGGGGTCCCTATAGCGCTTGGCCAAGCGGAGTGTTTTGGCAAAGAGTAGCACGCCGGTGGTCGAGATCTTCAACCGCAGCATGCTCAGGTCCTGGCCGTCGGGACGCTGTTTGGGCCAGCAGACAGTCGCTTCCACAGAAACCAATGGCTTGGGCATCACATCAATCTGCACCCCGGCCACAAAGGCAAAGACAGGCTGCACGTTCACACTGTAGGACACTGTCACGCACTGCTCGATATTCAGCTCTCCCGTGTAGAAGGAGTAGCCTCCCAAGACCGTGGTGTTCTAGACGACTTGTTGCGGACTCACCCCGGCAAGTCAGCCATCGGCTCTGTCCCCCGCACACGGCAAAGCCCAACGCCCACAACGACTCCCGCCCTGCCCCTCTACACCCTATCTGGCCGTATACCTCCCGGAAATGCAGCACCGCACCTTGCCACCTGCTTTCGTGTTCCTTCATCCAGTCGGTGCCGCAGGGCACGGCCCAGGGCTCCAGTTGCACAAAGTCGTTGGGGTCGGTGACCTGACGCCGAAGCACTCCGAAGCCCCTCGCAGCCTCAATCGCACCCCGCCTGCCAGTCTGATTCGCTCACCTGGCCAGCTTGCTGCCGGCTTTTTGGGGCAAAGGCCAGGCAGGAGCTGGTGTCCCTTTCGTAGCCGTGGAACCTTGGCTTGCAGGGTCCGGGTCAGGGGCACATTCACGCATTCTGGAGTCTGTCCCAGGTCTTAATTCCCTGTGCGGTGGAGTAGCTGGGTGATCAGCTTGGACTGATAGTTGGACCCCTCGTCGTGCATTCTGAAGGAGATGCCATCTTTCGGTGCTTCGCCCTCCATCTGTAGTGTCGAGAGCTTCCCCTGCTGCTTCTGGGTATGCTTCGTGATCACAAGGCTTTGAGCTGAGTGGTGCACCGCGGCTGGGGCTCCTATGGCCGGGAACTTCGAGAGGGCCGCCTCCTGGATCAAGGAGCTGCTGCCCTTCAGGACCTGCTTGGCCACCGAGCCCGCCATCTTCGCGAAGCCCTTCGAAGGCCCAAGGCAGAGATGTCGGGAAGGCTTGGGGACTCTCAGGGGCTCCGGGACTTGTGTGTGTGTGTGTGGATATCTCTCACCCCAACAGCCGCGAAAGCAAAGCAAAACGGCCCGCCTCCAGGAACTCGGAGAGCACATCACCCAGATGGCTCATGTAGCTGAAGGGAGGGGTGTTTTCGATGATAATAGTGCCGAGGCACTGCATAAGCGCATCCCCCGTCTGCTGGGAGCAGGTAGAAAGCTCATGGCCCACATTGACCGTGGCCTTCAGCGGAGGAACCTTGTCGATGATCTTGGTGCCAAGGCACGTGACGAGGCCACCGTTCACATGCCAATTCATACAGTCCAAGTCCCGTCCCACCGTGATCATCTTCTGAACTTGCTGGACGGCGCTGTTTCCAGGAAAGTTCAGCTCCTCCACCTTCTCGATCGTCTTGCCCGCAAAGCACTTCACGGCTTCACCAGGCAAGTGCCAATTCGAGCAACTCTGGAGCTCCCCTCCAAGGCTCATCGCCCCCTGAACAGTCGCGAGAGCGGTGCTGGCCACCTCCTTAAGCTGGGCAAACAAATCGACGATCTTGTTCCCGATGCACTTCACGGCTTCACCAGGCAAGTGCCAATTCGAGCAACCCTGGAGCTCCCCTCCAAGGCTCATGGCCCCCTGAACAGTCGCGAGAGAGGTGCTGAGTATCGTCTTCAGCCCTCCTGGTAGGTCGATAGTCCCCAAGTCCAGCTCCCAGTGCTTGTTCGCACTGATCAGATTGATCTCAATCTTGATCTTCCCGAGCTTCAGCTTCCCACTGAGGTCGAAGCTTGGCGCTTGGGGCCTGTGAAGCTTCACCCAAAAGTCCGAAAAGCCTGGGAGGCCGAGGACATTCTCCAAAAGCGTCGTGGCCTTCTCCACGGTGTCGAAGGCGTGCGTGGCCAGCTGGTCCTTGGCATAGTTCACCTGTCTAGGGTCTAGGCTTTAGGGTTTAGGGTACTTCATATGATTTATGTAGGGGCCGTTGCAACTTCAGGGCGGGTGTTCTGTGAACTGTGAGACTGCTGGCAGTGGCATCAGACGGCAGGAAAGATGCAGCCTCCCTTCTATCTCGGATCACCTACTGACTGGGGCTCTTTGGACCCGCGGCCTTGTCAGCCGTGGAAGAGGCTGCAGCAAATCCGTCCTCCAAGGTCCCAACCGGATCGCTGGCCCAGCTCGGAACTGGAACAACTCTTCTTCGTCCACCTGGAACAAATGGAAGTATGGCATTCTCCTCACTCTCGGCTGCGAGGCCTGCGGTCTCGTTCTTCAAACCTCGCTCCCTTAAGGCCTCAGGGCCAGAACGCAAACGGTCAGGGCCGGAGCCCTTGAAGTGTCCTGAGCTGCAGCGGCAGAGGGGGCCAGAGGGATCCTCATTTAGTTTTATGTTGATCCTCATCTAATTGTGTTTAAACCCCTATCCCGGGCAGAGGGGGCTAGAGGGTGCAGAGGTTTACAGAACACTCCCCGACTGCGGCTTGGGCTCCGGTCCGGCGCTGGTGCTCGTGCTTCCGCCAGACGTTCTTCAGGACCGCCGTGGTCTCCTCCAGCCGGGTCTTGGCTTCCTCTTCCGACTGCGTCTCCAGCAAGATGCTGCGGGGCTTGGAAGGGGAGACCTCCGCGGTCGGGGAGTCGGAGCCGCTGTGCCGTTCTTTCTTAAGCAATGCGATCTCCAGGCGGTGTGTGGCAATCTCCGCTTGCTGCATTTCGGCAAGAGCCTCGAGCTGCGCCACCTTCACAAGAAGGAAGTTCAGGTTCTTTCCGAGACCGCCCAAGCCATCTCCCTCAGCGCCGCTGGCATCTTCGGGGCCCTCGACATGTCCGGGAGCCCCCTGCTTCTCCGTGCCGCTCGGCGGCTCCGACAACTTGAAAGACAAGCAGCCGGCAAACATCACCATCAGGATGCGAATGATGCGAGAACCGCCCGCAAACTTCGCCATCGCGAGCAACAGAAACACCCAAGTGGGGGGGAGCTACACACCAACTTCGTTGAAAACAGCAAATGGCTACCGATTTCAGGAGTCGCGAACACATGCGAAAACCAGGACATGTTCCACAGCAATCGTGTCACAAGGGTGGTTGTTGAGGTGCCCAGTCTCTTGTTGATTTTCTACTCCGGTGACCCGTGCACCACGCGCGAACTCAGCTCAGCTTTGGGATTCCGCTGGAGGCACAGGCCGTGCTCGTGCACTCCTGCAAACCTTTCTCAATCACAGGCTTGAATTTCAGTGCAAAACCTCGGGCATGATATAATATAAATGACATAAGTGAAACCATCAATCAAATATATTTCCGAATAGAAAAAGAGACTTCACCAATCCAATAAACATTCATACTCTTCACTCGGTCAGCGGTCTTTTTTTCCTGACAGGGGAAACGAATGCCCACGTTGCCTCGCCCCGAGAAAAGAACGTGGTCACTTGGCCATGGCACTTTCCATGACTCCGTACAAGAAAAATACATGTGTATATATATATATATATGTATATTACTTATATATTACTTATATATTATATTATATTATATTATATTATATTATATTATATTATATTATATTATATTTTTACATATGTATAAATAATGATATTCATTTATACATATATATATATAGTTTCTCGTATATGATTAAAAATGCATATAGTTACAATACAATAAAATGACAAAATGAAAATCTATCGATAATTAATTAAATCGATTTGAGCTTCTTCTTCAATACCATCAATATTATATATAGAATGTAGAAATTCTAGATCCTAAATCGGGAATAATAGCAGCTCAAATAGCAGCTCATTAGCAGTATGAAATACTCGAAATTAAATATAGTCGAAATTCATATATTTCAGATTCATTAGGATATCAGAAATTAATTATCATTTACTTATAGTTATTTTTCGGAAATTCTTATTTTGTTGAATTTTTTCTCATATTTTTCAATTTTTTGATTGCATTCAGTCTAATTATTAGACTGAATTACGATCTCCTAAAATTAAATCGATATATTCAAAGAAGAGTTTTCTTGGAATAAGATGCCGGTCGCTTTATTTAATATTATTCAATTCATTCACGAACCTCATCTCTATTCGCTTCCATTTCTGGAGATCATGATTTTTTTGATGAGAGTCACATTCTCGGTCGGTGGTGTCTTTTATTTTGGATATTTGGATTTATTTAGGACGGTGTTTTATAAACGTCGTCAAGTTAGTCTCGAGTGAAATTTTGTCATAGAGATTTCAGTCTTGGAATGATCTCGGATCTCGTGATCAAGTCTCGGGGAATGACCAGATTGTTCGGGCAATGGTTCTGATGATTGTGAAATTTTTCAAAAAGATATCAATTTCAGCGGTCAATTTTGTTCCGCCAATCTCATCTATCTCGTCGAATTGCCTCTCGCAGCAATTACATGCATTCGTTGCGCCCGGTTTCACATAGACGCACGTATGACAAAACATGTTGATGCCTGGCCTGGCCAGCGGCCTCGGATGCTGATGCCGCGCCCTGTGCCGACCGACTAACCGGAATTCAGGCCAACAGGAAGCTCCATTCAGAATTCAGACGATCGAAATTATTTGGACACTTCTGCCTTTGGCTGGCCGTGCCTGTTCCAGGAGGGACCGGACATTTGTAGATGCTGCTCGTTCTTGCAATCCTTCAGCAGCTGCCGTTGCCTGCGATGGTTGCGTTCGAACTGAAGGATTCCGGCACACAGCAAAGCCACCACTCTGCCTGGGCCATTGCCTGGGAGGCTGATGCCATGCCCTGTTCTGCTGCTGATTGGAGATTCAGTGCTGTGGACTGATAGGCCTGCCGCGGAGCTGCGGTAGCTTTGAAGACCGAGCTACGGTCGACCCTACTTTCACGAGTTGCGCCTCCGAATCCTGCACCTGCTGCACCAGCTCCATGAATCTCTGCACGAGGCGATCAAGCTCCTCGCAAACTGCACTTCATCGCCAATACAGACGCAAGCATCTGCTGGCGCCTCTGTCGTTTGCTGCTTTACGGCAGCCGCCCGGGCCTTGAGAAAGGCACCAAGCCAGCCCGTAGCCGACAGGCGTTTGCAAACTGTTGCCTGCGCATCTTCTACCGCTTTCTGGCCATGCTCCTGTCCAAAGCCGTAGGTCTTGGCCCGCTGGACCGATGAACACAAGTGCTCTTAAACTGTCTCGTAACCTTCCAGCTGGCCGCAAGCTCCTCCCAAGGCTGCATACGCTAGCTTGCATCTTGCCGGCAAGCTTACTTGACGTGCTTTGCGCCTCCACATCTGCCGTCTCCAAGGCACGGGCGCCGGCTTCAAAGCCCATAGGGTCAGACGCACCTGACCAAATGCGGCATACCAGCTGCCGGCCGCCCATCTTGGCTGAGCCCAACACCTGTGGCCGCAGCCTCGGCGACCTGTGCCCGAATTGCCTCCAGAATATATAGGATGCACAGACAAGAACATCTTGGAAGCTGAAGCACCGTAGAATCTGCAGGATGCAGCTGTGAAGCCTAATCACCGCACGGAAGTATCTCTTCTCCAAAACCCAAATTACTACACTCTGCTCGCCGTACCACGTGACATGCCTGGCAAGGGCAGGCCCGAATGAAAGCGTGTGCCCAAAGCCTATGGCCTCGACTTCTGCGACTCGCGCAGAAATCTGGGTTTCAAGGGACTTGAGCTGACTCTGCAGGTCCAGTTTCTCCTGACTTCACAACTTGGTCACACAAGAGGCATGAAACCTTCAAGGCGCTGATGTCTCCATATGGGCCAAGCCACCTTCTCCAAAGCGTCCTGGGCGGATTCTGCGAGCGAAAGCTTGGCTCCCAAGGTCTCGCTGCCTTGGTCTGAGCGGCAGGAAGAAGTGAAAGGTGCACATCTAGAAAATGTGGTGCTCACTCTGTGGAGCTGAAACTTTTCTCAAGCTGGCTCGTCGCTCGTCCGACAGCAACTCCGACTGTGAAACCGCCGCCCATGCAAGCTGAACAACCTTCTGCTCATTCGTGCAACAGCTGCAGAGCTATCCGCAGAGTTCTCAAGGGATGAGATTTGCACAGGAGAAGGCTTGCTTTGTCTGGGTTTGCCCCTCGAGCCCTACACTGCAGAAGTGACATTGGCTGCGAATGCAGTGGGCGCCTACGCAAGCATGCCCTGACAGCGTAAAGAGATCAAGCTTGCAGACATGCCTCAAGTCTCCTGGCTTCTTTTCTGCGAGTAGCCTCTGATGCCAGCTGTCACCAGCATATAAGCGCGGTTCGAGTATTCGGATATCATTGTTCCGGGCCGCAAGTAGCTGCTCGGGAGTGCAGTTGAAGGCACGAGGTCGTCAGGCATCAAGCTTCTTGAAGCCCCAGCTGTCAACTGACAGCGTGATGCCGTCGAACACGGAGCCGTTCAATGCCTCGATTGCCGCAGCCGCATCCTCACTGGATTTGAAGGCTGCACCTCCACTCCCATTTCTGGCAACCTCTGCATAGAGACAGACAGGCCCTGCAGTGCACATATGTTCCTTGAGCTTCTTGTTCAGCTCTACACTGCAGTTGTCTGGCGGCAAGCCCCCAATGAACACCTTTCGGTCGTTCGCGAAGGTTCTGAGACCACCCTTGCCAAAGCCTTTCATCATGGGGTTAAACATGGGCTGCCACACACCGTAGCCTCCCCAGTTACTTCCACAGCCAGCATAGCCCTTGCCTCCACATCCAGGCCCACTGCTGTAGCTGCTGTAACCTTTGCCACATCCGCCACTGCTGAAGCCTTTGCCTCCGCCTGCACCTGCAAATCCTTTGCCACCGCCTTTGTCATAGCCACCGTAACTGGCACATCCACCAGATCCTCCTCCGTATCCCCCGCAAGCTCCGTCTCCCTTGCAGCCTGCTCCATAGCTGTTTCCCCAGTCCTTTCCACCACCACCCCAGTCCTTGCCGCCACCACCACCGCCGCCCCAATCCTTGCCACCTCCGCCACCCCAATCCTTGCCACCCCCGCCGCCCCAATCTTTGCCACCACCGCCGCCCCAATCCTTGCCACCGCCGCCCCAACCCATGCTTAAGGCCAGGCCCGAAGCCCTAAGCTAATCCCAGCAGGCTGTCCTGGAAAGCCACGAAGCGGGCGGCGATGGATGCCCACCTATGGGTTGAAACCGAAGCACGAGTCCACGACGTGAGAACGGGTCCCAGCTCTCTATGGGGTCTGACGATTGCAGCTTGCACAACGGCCCATATGCGGTGCCCATGACTTATTACTACCGTCAAAGGCTTGTTTGACCGTTCGCAGACTGGTGGGCAGGTCTCTGAAGCGGCTGGCCATTTCGATGGGCAGCCTGCACAGTTAGCCTATGATTGGCCTACAACCAATGTATAAAGCCCATCTTCTGTGGGCCACTATGTACACAATAGAACGCAGGCGTGGAAAGCCTTGAGTTAAAGCTCTGTCTTGAGAGCACTCCGAGAGAGAAGACCTTCGTCCAGGAAGGGAATCATGAGCTCACGAGGCCTACAGCAACAACCCAAGCAAAAATTGTGCTGTTTCCTTCAAGTTTCCTTTGGACCTGCAGCTCAATCATGATTGGCAAAGCATGACCAGCATGTGCGATTTGCAAGCGGCGCACGCAAAACTTGCACAAAGGGGATTGAATTGCTGGATGCGCACATAAAATTGGAATCGAGTGGCTCCAGGTACTGCTGCATTTGCGACAAAGCGTTGCTACCAATGAAGCTCTTCGCCGGCTCCTGGAAGCGGGTCTTTTTTTGTGCGCAACTCTGGGCCGGCAAATCATCTGCTTTGGGCCTGGCCTTCTGCCCTGCCTCGATGAAGAAGAGCGTCGGGTATCCCTGGACAGAAAGTGCCCGAAACTGCTGCACTCTGAAAGTTTCGCGCGGAAGAGCAAAAGCAAGAGCCAACCAAGCCTTCACTTCGAATCCGCTGATTGGCAGATCATTCGCTTGACCGTCCATCTTGGCAACAGAAAGGCCCTCCCTGTGTGCCACAACGGATGCAAAGGAATCCAGCCTCAAGAGAAAGCAAGTTGTGCTGCGGTCGCTCTAGTAGGCATCCGTGCACTGAGGGCCACACAAGGGGATCATATTCTGGCAGTGTGGACAGCCTTTAGCCTCGGCCGAGCCGACTGTATCGTAGTCCGCTCCGAGGCTCGCGGTCAATACAACCCTAGATGTCAAGGGGGAAGGGAATGACAGGAGTAAGACAGCATTGCGAGTGACAGGGCTGAGTCTTTTTCGCTATACAAACTGGACTCCAGACCGGATCATCACATGATTCCGGGAGGCATCACGGAGCTACAGAGACCCGGATGCAGGAGTTGAACAAGAGCTGCGCAGGACCAGCCAAGGCGCTCCTATGGGTATTGCACTTTTGCAAAACTAGGTAACGGAGGTAACTTCAACTTCTCGTCGCAGAATCACCCATCGCTTCGCTTAAAGACATCTGAAAGCCGAGTGGCATACAGCATCACAATGCAATGACGGATATCATTGAAAACCGTCTCAATGAAGTTCTTCAGCACGACAGTCAGCACCGGACTGGTCTGTTGCACTGGAATGTCCTGATTAACCACCAGACTTTGTAATTCTGGGCATCACGGATCGAGTGTTGGCTAAGTTTGGGGGTTGTTTTCTTTGTGGTTTGTTGTCGCACCTCCTGCCTAGTCCTAGTCTGTTGTGATCACTGCTGACAGATAGCACATGGCAAGCCAGCTCCGTCGACCGCAAAACTCGCCTACTGACTGATCAGAGCTTCATCAAACTCAACACAGAAACACCAGGAGGGCGCTCAACATCATTGGGCACTCATGTTCGCCTCGCGTGAGCTCGACAAGCGACACCAACGCGGCAAGGCTCTGGGTGTACACCGGATGCGTTGAACATGTGGAGCATGCCACTCTTGATGGCTCTGCGACGTTCTAAAACCCTTCAAGCCCGAACGGCAATTTGCGCTTGGCAGTCAATTATTGGGGTGCTTTGCAGGCGTTGATCATCTCGACAACTCCCTGCCAAGCCTATAGGCGGTCTCGCTGCAACAGGTAAGCCATTTGCACTATAGTGCAAATGCCTTACCTGTTGCAGCGAGGCCGTTCCTGCACACAACGATTGTTTCTTGGGACTTGGGGTGTTCCCAAGCCGTCCTAGCCTTATGCAGGGAAGCCGCAAGTGATATGACTACTGCAGGTCGGCAAACGATGTCAACCAATCCACCACTGTGCTCGTCAAGGTGGAGAAGCTGACAAGAACACCATGCGTCTTTCACACGTCTCGCTTGACTTCTGGAACGACCACTACAGTCAAGGTAACAAGGCTGTGCACGTACATCTGTCGCCCAGACGAACGGTTTCTGCACCAGAGATGAGGACGGACGGCATGCCAATCTTCAAACCGAAGTTTGCAGCCTGACATAAGGAGCTGCAGGGTGTTGGTAGGCTTCCGCAACACATGCGTTAGGAAATGCAATCGTCTACGCATAGCGGCAAGCGTCCAGCTCAAAATGAGGGTGCACAACTTGCAAAAGGATGTGTATAAACCTTCTCCTAACACGATGGGTCACCAAAGCAGTGATCCGTTTGTTGGAGTCAGGAATGAAAAGGTAAGCACAAAGCGAGTACAGAGTCGTTTTCAAATGCAACGACAATGCAACGACAGTGGGTTAATGCTTCATTCACGCCCCTTGGTATGTGATAAACTCTACACTAGTAGGCAGAGACTCCTTGAAAAGGATGCCACAGGGAAATGCACAAAATCCCAAACCGAGCACACGCTCTTGAGGGATTCGGCTCTTTGTACGTTAGCACACGAAGCATCGAATGTGATAAAACCTCGATTGTCTGCAAAGTTCGCCTTCCCACTTCAAGTGCCCACAAGCGCGCTACCTTATCTGAGTAGCCTTTCGAAGCAACTCTTCCGCTTAACATGCTCGCCCCTCACCCGAAAGCGTTACCAGATGTTGGGCTTCGCGAGTCCTCCGACCGAAAGTTTTCAAGCATCTTGTCCATGCCAACCTTCGGATTGACCTGCCAAGCAACAGTGTTGCTCGAGCTTGTCGTCTCACTGCGTTCACATGCGCTGCCCAGCCTCCTTGTCTTCGGCTTTGGGCTTGGTCGGCACCCTGTTCTTGCGAACAAAGTTGTGCAAGTCTTCGGCCGTTCGCTCCGAAAGCTTCACAATATCCGCGGAACCAGGCGCCAAATAAAAAATTGTAGGATAGCCGGTGTACTCAAAGCCACCATACGGAATCCCATTTGCGTCCCCGTTCAGCTTTGCAACCACGATAGTCCTTCCCTCATCTGCCATTTTTATTGCAAACCTCTCATACTCGGGCGCAAGCTTCTTGCAGTGACCACACCATGGGGCGTAAACTTCCAACATGACATGCTGGCCTTGATCCAACGGACCGAACACCATATCTCTGAAAGTCATGCCAACTACGGTCTTTACAAGCTCCGGCTGTGTGGCTGGCGGCGGCTCGGATTTCACGAACTGCTCCGCGAGCCAGATCCCTAAAGAATCACTCGAGTATGGCTCGTCGGACTCATACGGCTGGTACACTGAAATCTTCCTGGCAGTGCCAGGCCAGAGTAGTGCCAGGCCAGCAGCGTCCTTTTGCCAACCGTGCGAATAGTTGCACACAACAGCTAATCATCAGCTAGCGCAGCTAGTCATCCAACTCGACTAGACAATAAAGCAAATTCAAAAAATGCCAGCAGCGTCACAGGACATCTGGGGTATGGAGTTTCGCAAGCCTTGCATGTTGCCGCCAGTCCATGGCAACTTCTTGCACGATGGTGTAGTTCGCCGTGCTGCCCCCTCGCCAAAAAATTACGGGCTTCTGCTTGGATTTCACAATGGCCCAAGCCTCCTGATTCAGCCGTCAGCACTACATCTACTTTCCACAGGTCAGAGCGCAGGAATGATCTGTGAGTGAAGGAAATCACGGGCTGACTGGTAGCTTGTACAGAAACACATGAGAGAAACCTGCGACTGCAAAATTCCACAAGAAGGGACGTATTGTCTGAAGAACTGGTCCGCGAACTCCTTTACCAGAGCATCCAGGAACAATCTTTACAACACGGTCAAGTCCAAGCTAACTTCCTCTGATCCACTTCTTTCTACACTTGGTGCCGTGCCGGCACCATTGCAAGGAGCAATGCTTGCAAATTATATACAAACGAGTGCAAAATCAAGAAGCACGCAGGGCACTGCTGGCGAGACTGTCGTCAGGTTGTTAACTGCCTTCGCAACCAAAGATGACTTGATTTCCAGAGGTTTCGCTGTAGCCCCGGTGGAAAAACGTGCAGTAGATAATGCGACAGTTGAACATAATGATGTAAGGGAACAAAGATGGGACGAATCTTGGCCAGAAATTTGTGGCAGGGAACACCGAGCAAGGACCGACGGAAGAACCTTGGGAACCTGACCTAAGCTCTTGAGGACTGCAGCACCATGCCGCAAACCTGGTGCAGCTCGCTGCGACGATCCCGCCGACCCTGGCAGCGTGTTCGGAGGTGCAACCTCCCGTTTTGCCTCCGTGGTACGAGGCGGGCAGAGGAGAGTAGGGGCGGGGTACCCGGCAGCATTTTCCATGAATGGGTACCTCGCTCAAATCACGAACCCAGTCGGGGGAGGGATGTTAAAGCCGCCACCTGGAGAAACTGCGGAGGCGAGCATCATGGGCGCTCCGGAACGCCCCCGGCAAGAGCAACGGGGGTCCGATGCAGGGTCGGCAGCACTGCGGTCCGGCGTCTAGCAAGCCAGGGCTACATCCTCTCCGGGCGCACAGAGGGGCATTGCCCGATTTAAAGCCTCCGGCTCCAACCGCCGACTCTGCAGACGTGGCAAATAAATCCGTTTCCTGCATGCGTTGCTGATTGAGCCTTCCACTTCAGCAGTACTGCTGCTGCACCCTGAAGTGAAACAACAGCTAGCGCAGTTACCAGAAAGCACAAGTTTAGTGGCGTGCAGCCAAGCGCGGCGCATGTGCCGCGCACGCGCACTGCCGCGTGCGCGCACCCCGTTCGGTGGACCGGAGCCGCGCGCATGCTCGCGTGGCGCGCTCCGTCGCAATGCCCGACTGTGCGCCCAGTAGGCTGTACTGTAGCACGGCTTGCTAATCAGGGCTGTCCTTGCACCCTCAGCTCTCGCCGCATACGACGTTGCCCTTGCCGCGGCAACTATAAGTATCTGGCCATCCTGCAATTTCTGGTAGGTTGCTACGTCCCATGCAAGGACATCATCGTCTTGTTTTGTGATAATGCCTCGGCCAACTAATCGGTGTTTGTACATCATGGAGACGCAAATTCGTGATTCTGTAGTTGTTGATTTCGCTCCTAATGAAACAATACACATTGCAGAGCATGCTTAGAATTATTCGATTTCGGACCTTTTCTTATCCGCTCCGA